TTCCCAGTACATCGACTCATCACAGGCACCACAGTACATAGAGTTCACACTCGACAGTGGGGCCACTCACACTGTGCTCAAGGAGACACTCTCCTTCAAACCCTATCCAGCACCTATCCCTCTCTTGGGAGCTGACTCCAGCTTCACCACCCTAGCCAAGGGCACCTCCACAGTCCCATGCCCAGCCTTCCCTTCCGGCACCGTCACTGGCATGTGCGTGCCTTCACTACGCCACAATCTAGTGGCTCAAACAGAAATTCAGAAAGCAGGGCTACGCACCATCTTCTCGGAGAATGAGGACCACTGCGACATCATTGACCCACTCACCAACAAGGTCTTGGCCCGCTTCACCCTCAATAGCAGCGGCCTCTACACGCTACGCGTTCCTCTCCCACAGGTTTCAACCACCCAAGCACAGGCTCCCATCACACCATGCACATGTCGCAGCCTCTCCAACCCGACCATCCTCTATCATCATCGGTTAGGGCACCCAAACTTCCGCACGCTTGCTGACATGGCCTCCAAGAAACTTCTTCTCGGCCTGCCAGCCACACTTCCTCCACCACCGGACTCACCCGCTCCCACGTGCCTTGATTGCACCAAGAGCAAACTGCGCCAACAGCCCCACACTGCCTCACCCACAATCGCAGCGGCACCACTGGACCTAGTGCACATGGACGTCTGGGGCCCTGCCCCTGTTCTTGCACGAGGTGGATATCGCTACTTCCTAGTTATCGTGGATGACCACTCACGATACGTCTCTGTTCACCTCCTCCACACTAAGGCTGAGGCTCCAGAGGTCATCATGGCGTGGGTCAAGCAGGCACAGACCACCTTTGACCTCAAGGTCAAGCGCCTTCACTCGGATGGGGGGGGTGAATTTTGCAACGACAAGCTTAAAGCCTTCTGCTCCTCCGAAGGCATCCAGCAAAACTTCACCCTCCCTGACAGCCCTCAACAGAACGGCATAGCTGAGAGCCGCAACCACACTCTAGTGCAGATCACTCGGTGCCTCCTCAGCCACTCCAACGCTCCACACTCTCTCTGGGGATACGCTCTCTACCACGCCGCCCTCCTCTACAACCTTTACCCCCATCCGCACCTTCCCGACACCACTCCAACCACACTCTGGCTCGGGAAAACGCCCACTGCTCGCTCTCTTCGCGTTTGGGGATGCACCGCCTATGTCCTCCTCAACCCTCAGGCTCGACGCCAGAACGGTGGCAAGCTCGGTCCCAAGACTCAAACGTGCATCTACCTTGGGCACAACGCCGACTCACCTGACTACCTCTTCCTCAATCCCTCCACTCAACAGTTGGTCAGGAGCCGCGACGTTGTCTTTGATGAGACCCGCCCATTCTACTCCCCTTCGGGACGGGACCCTCTCCCTGATCCACCCTCCCTCGTGTGGGCAGACTTTGACGCGCCTCCCGACCTCCCGCCTGCTCCTGCCCCCTCACCTCCTCCCTCTCCTGCCATCCCACCATCTCCCTCTGAGGTCTCTGACCCGGCCTCACCGGTGTCTTCGGCGGCTGCTCCGCCCCCCCCCTCACCTTCCTCACTTCCCGCTGCGCCGCCCCCTCCGAGCGCACCTATCACCTACCATCGGCGGTCCCACCCTCCGGCCCCACCTCCTCCCCCAGTTCCCCCCACCACAGAGGAACCCGCTCTCCCACAGTCGCCCGAGCTGAGCACGTACCGCCGGCGGCCCATTCCCCCACCCAAGCCTCCTAAGTCACCCTCTCCGACACCGCCTGCCCCGCCCTCCTCACCGGTGGCTCATGGCACCCGCTCCCATCGCGCTGCTCTTCCACTCGCAATGGTTCTTCGATACACAATGATCACACCGCCTCCTCCTGCTGGGGGGGATGTGCCCTCTACCCTTCTAGAAGACAGGCATGAGGAGCTGTGTGATCTCCATGCAGTCATTCCTCAGCTCTCACACATCTTCCCCGATATCACTGGCTCACCCTCCCTCAACCTCGCGGAGAACCCGACCATCCCTATCCCTCTCACCGTCCAAGAGGCTCTCTCAGGCCCTCATGCTGCCGAATGGCGTGCTGCCATGGACGCGGAGATTGCAGCATTCACTCGCAACCACTCTTTCGATGACGAGACTCCACCTCCAGGAGTCAACATCGTCGGGGGCAAGTGGTTGTTCCGTGTAAAACAGCTCCCAGACGAGGCACCGGTGTTCAAAGCGCGTTACGTAGCCAAGGGCTTCACCCAGCAGCGGTACCGCGACTTCGACCTAATCTTCTCCCCCACATCCAAACCTCCCACCATTCGAACGCTCATGGATGTTGCAGCTCGAGAAGACTTTGAGATCAAATCCATGGATGCCTCCTCCGCTTTCCTACAAGGACGTCTCAAGGAGACAGTGTTCATGGACAGACCAGAAGGCTTCCCAGGAGAATTCCCTCCCAACACAGTCTGGAAGCTGAATCGCCCCGTCTACGGCCTTAAACAAGCCCCTCGCGAATGGCACAACAAGGTGAAAGAAGTCCTCCTCTCCCTGGACTTCCACCCCTCAACTGCTGACCCGACTCTCTTCATCCGTCGTCATTCTGAGCCATTCTACATCCTAGTCTACGTGGATGATTTTATCCTCGTTGCCAAGGACTCGGCCCAAATGACCTCTGTCCAGGCAGCCCTGAGCAAGGCCCTCCAGATGAAAGACCTTGGTGACCTCAAGCACTACCTGGGAATGGAGATCACTCGTGATCGCAAGGCTCGCACCATCTCACTCTCCCAGGAGTTCTACATCGACAATGTGCTCAAGCGGTTTGAGATGGAGCTGTGCACACCTGTTGCCACCCCGCTGCCGCTGCAACACCTCCTTACAGCTCCTGCTGTACCCACACCAGAGGCCTGCTCTGAGCCATACCCGGAACTTGTTGGGTCCCTCATGTACGCCATGATGTGCACCCGACCGGACTTGGCCTACCCAGTCAGTGTTCTCTCTCGTTACGTGGCCCCGGGTCGCTTCACTAATCTTCATTGGAAGGCAGCAAAGCGGGTGCTGCGCTATCTTAAGGGCACAAAGTCCCACGTTCTCACACTCGGTGGGCTCTCCCCTCCTCGCCTGGAAGGTTACACAGACTCCTCCTGGGCTGATGACCAGACCGACCGGCGCTCCTCTCAGGGGTACTGCTTCACCCTCGGGAGCGGAACTGTCAGTTGGCGCTCCACCAGGTCGTCTGCAGTCTCCCTCTCCTCCTGTGAGGCGGAGCTCTACGCAGGCACCATGGCTGCTCAGGAGGCCCGTTGGTTCACCTTCCTACTCCAAGAGCTTGGCTTCCCTCAGTCAGCCCCCACCCTCTGGTGTGACAACCAGAGTACCATCCACATCTCTCAAGACCCTGTGTATCACACCCGCACCAAGCATATTGAACTTCGGCACTTCTTCATTCGTCACCTTGTGCAACAAGAGCAGCTGAAGGTGGAATACGTGGCATCTGACTGCAACCTGGCTGACCTGTTCACCAAGCCCCTTGGGAAGGTTCCCCACCATCGTCTCCTTGGCGCCATGGGGCTCTGCGCTCCTCCTTCTCCGCCATGAGTTCGATTGACGCCTCAGGGGGGGTGTTGGTGTTAGGCCCCAATCTCACATTTTGTACTTGTACTTTTATATCCTAGTTTAGTGTAGTTTGCACTTTGTGTTTGGTTGGGTGTACACCCACATCCCAACCAAACCCAAATGTAATCTCCAAGCAATCTCCAACCCACCAATTGGAGATTGCCTTGGGATTACCCTTGATTCCCTAGGATTGCCTCCTGATTCCCTCCTCATCCCTACCTTGCTCATTCCGGATGTACTTAAAGAGCTTTGAGCTCACTACTATAGTTCTGACACCAAGGACTATGTCCTTACCCTTGGCGGCCCCTCCCCACCTCTCCTCAGCGGCTACAGTGACTCCTCCTGGGCTGATTCCCGGCCAGATCGTCGCTCCTCCCAGGGCTATGGCTTCTCTCTTGGCAGCGGCCTTATCAGCTGGCGCTCCACCCGCTCCTCGGCTGCAGCCCTCTCCTCCTGCGAGGCGGAATTGTATGCCGCCACCATGGCTGCGCAAGAGGCCCGCTGGCTCACCTTCCTTCTTGAGGAACTTGGTGCCCCCCAGCGCTGTCCCACAATTTGGTGTGACAATGCTAGTACCATTCACCTCACCAAAGATGTTGTGTTTCACGGGCGCTCCAAGCACATTGAGCTCCGTCATTTCTTCATTCGCGATCTTGTTCAGGCGGGGCACCTTCGCCTCGACAAGGTTGACTCGGCGGCCAACCTTGCCGACATCTTCACAAAAGCTCTTCCTCACGCCGCTCACTCTTTCCTACTTCGTCTTCTTGGCCTCACTCCTCCTAAGTCTCCTCCCGCCTCTTGATTCTAGCCTTCTAGCCTTATGCATGTTGGGGGGTTGTGTTGTAATTTCATATTTTATACAACATACATAGGCTAGAAGTGTAGCACATTTTATCAATTGGGGGGTTGCTTAGTGTACCCTCCAACCACATTTTGTGGTTGGTTGGGATTGGTCCTTAGCTCAACCAATCCCAACCAACACACATTTGTGGTTGCTTGGGTCACAAGCAAGCTCACCCATTGGCCAACTTATTGGCCAATAGAGTAAGCTTCCCTCTCATCTCTCTCTTGCTCATTGTTTGTACTAAAGAGCCTCTTGGCTCATTATTCAATGCATCAATTCTCTCACTTGCAACATCATTGCCAACAATACTCTCTTTTTCCCACCTCGATCTCCTATCTTAATCTCCCTTGTGCGCTGCAGGACATCTCACTAGCAAGGGCGCACACGCCTCTCCGTGACTCGGACCCGCAGTCTCAACCTTTCACTGCCTGCAATCTCGTCTCTATCTCATCACCTCCCCTCCCCCCTCGTTTCCTCTCCGCCTCGCAGGACATTTCTCTAGCAGTGGCCCACACGTCTCTCCGTGACTCAGACCCTCAGGCCTACCGCAAGGCCATTCAAGACAATATCCTCAGAATGGCCTACTACTGGTGAGTATGACTCAGCTATAGCCACTTTCTGGTTTTTCAAGACTGCTCAAAATCTGTTTCAGGCCTATTGCAAGGCCATTCAAGTCAACATCCTCAGAATGGCCTACTACTGGTGAGCACACAGACATGGCTTAGTACTCATTAACTCACCATGCAGGTCGCCTTGACTCGTCTTGTGGCGTGTTTTGAGTCGACTCAAAACACGGCTTACTACTGGTGAGCACACAGGCATGGCTTAGTACTCGTTGACTCACACCATGCAGGTCGCCTTGACTCGTCTTGAGTCGTGTTTTGAGTCGACTCAAAACACGGCTTACTACTGGTGAGCACACAGGCATGGCTTAGTACTCGTTGACTCACACCAAGCAGGTCGTCTTGTGGCGCCTATGCTCAGCCATGCCAATCAGTGCATGGCTGGCTGGCCAGTGCCCATCTTCATACTAGGTAAACGCAAGTTCTGATTTTAAGCTGAAGATTTGTTCAAGCTGGCTCTCTAAGAAAACGTTCTAGCTCACAGGTAACCAGGCTCCTCCTTTTCATTCATTCCATGGGGTTTGTTCCGTCGTTCTAAGAACCATTCAAGTTGATGGAAAGAAGACCTCCGCAGCCCACCTGTCCGTTACTGACAGCACCTCACCAAGCAGATCGCCTTGACTCGTCTTGTGGCGCTTATGCTCAGCCATGCCAATCAGTGCATGGCTGGCTGGCCAGTGCCCATCATGGCATCATACTACTGGTCGGTCATATGACCTTCGAGGCGCCTCAAAAGAATCACGCTGTGGTTCAAAGTTGCGTACGCTGAAAGAGTGTCATACGCTGAAATCTCTCACCATGTGCTCTCTAATGGTGGGTCAATTCGAACATCTGTGAATGGCCCTAACGCTGTGTGATGCTGCTTTGCTCCCCTGCCATACCTTGATCCACCCCAGGTACAACTTCATGCCATTGGCACGCGGCACAGCAATGAACGGCTATGTCATGACGCTCGCCCTCCTGCTGGCCGTTGACCTTCGAGTCTCGCAGCCCATTGCTAGAGGCGTGCAGGTAAATAGACTCTCTTTATCAAGGCTGTGCTGATCAGTACCCTCGCCCTCCTGCTGGCCGTTGACCTTCAAGTCTCGCAGCCCATTGCTAGAGGCGTGCAGGTCAGTATTCTCTCTTTGCCAAGGGTGTGGAGGTCAGTACCCTCTCTTATCAAGGGTGTGCAGGTCAGTGCCCTCTCTTATCAAGGGTGTGCAGGTCAGTACCATCTCTTATCAAGGGTGTGCAGGTCACCACCCTCTCTTATCAAGGGTGTGCAGGTCAGTACCCTCTCTTATCAAGGGTGTGCAGGTCAGTACCCTCTCTTGTCAAGGGTGTGCAGGTCAGTACCATCTCTTATCAAGGGTGTGCAGGTCAGTATCCTCTCTTATCAAGGGTGTGCAGGTCAGTACCATCTCTTATCAAGGGTGTGCAGGTCAGTACCCCTCTCTTATCAAGGGTGTACAGGTCAGTACCCTCTCTTATCAAGGGTGTGCAGGTCAGTACCATCTCTTATCAAGGGTGTGCAGGTCAGTATCCTCTCTTATCAAGGGTGTGCAGGTCAGTACCCTCTCGTATCAAGGGTGTGCAGGTCAGTACCCTCTCTTATCAAGGGTGTGCAGGTCAGTATTCTCGCCCTCCTGCTCGCTGCTGACCTCCAAGTCTTGCAGCCGATTCCCAGGGGCGTGCAGGTAAGATCCCTTTCTTAATCAGGGGCACTCTTTTGAGTCGACTCAAAAGTCAGATCCCTCTCTCAATCAGAGGCAGTTAGTACCTTCTCGTCATCCGGGGTGTGCAAGTCAGTAACCTCACTTCTTGGGGGGTGTACCATCCATCCTCTCATAGTCCACTGTGCTGCGTGCAGGTGTCAGTAACCTCACTTCTGTCCTTTCCTTTCCATCCCGCTGCGTGCAGGTGGACTGGGAGTCCATCCTCTGCCCCTCATCCGACATCTTCATCGCCAGCGTCTCCTCCTGGCTCTACCCATCGCTCGTGGCGGCTACCTGTGCCTCTCACCTCCTTACCACCCATCCTCTCATGCCCCTTGGTGCCGTGTGCAGGTGGACTGGGAGTCCATCCTCTGCCCCTCAGCCGATATTTTCATTAGCAGCGTCTCCTCCTGGCTCTACCATCGTGCCGGCTGCCTGTGCCTCTCACTCATGTCCTTACCACCCATCCTCTCATGCCCCTTGGTGCCGTGTGCAGGTGGACTGGGAGTCCATCCTCTGCCCCTCTTCCGACATCTTCATCAGCAGCGTCTCATCATGGCTCTACCCATCGCTGGTGCCGGCTCCAGATGCTGCCAGCATTCCCAGCGTGCGAGAGCACTTCCCTACCATCGGCGACGTTATCGAGGCGCTCAGTGATGCATTCACCGAGTGATGCAGCCTGGCCCTCTAAAGATCGTAAGCCTTGGTTTCCTCCTGGCTCTACTCCTCATCGCTGGTGGAAACTCCAGGTGCTGCCAGCATTCTCAGCGTGCGGGAGCACTTCCCCACCATTGGCGATGTTATGGAGGCGCTTAGCAGTGCGTTCACGGAGTGATGTAATGTACCGGTAACGTTCGAGCCAACTCAAGGGGCATTCCCAGCATGCGAGAGCACTTCCCCACTATTGGCGATGTCATGGAGGCACTCATTAGCGCATTCACCGAGTAATGTATTGTACGGTAAAGTTTGATTTAACACAAGAACCGTCTCCAGCATGCGAGAGCACTTTCCCACCATCGGGGATGTTATCGAGGCGCTCAGTAGTGCATACACTAAGTGATACAGTCTACTATTTGATGCACAAAGCATTCCCAGCAGGGCCCAAAATTGGTTTAGGCCTACCCTTACAAATCAGGGTTCCAGCCAGGGCTCTCGCTAGGATTTTGGCCTGTCTGAAAACCTAAACCCAAAAATCCGTTTCGTCTGACGTTCGGACGGGAAATTTTCGCGTGTCTTTCTTTTCAGACGAAATTCCATTGCATGTCTGAAAATCTCAGACGAATTTTTTTTCCGCGTCTGATGTTGCAACTTGCATCTTGATGACGTAGCAGCGGTGCATTAGACTGCACGTTAGTGGACAGGACTGTGAGGCGTGGGGCTCGAGAGGGGAGTGGGGCTGGACTAGGGTAAGAGCGGTCAATGTGGGGGAAGGGTTGGGCTGGGAAAGGTATGTGAGAGTTGGGGTGGGGGAGGACTTTGCTGGAAGATTTGCGACAGTGCGAGGGAGTTGGGTGAAGTGCTGGGCTGGAGTTGGTAGGGTGGCTAGGCTGGTAGAGGCAAGGGGGACTTACGGTAGCGCTTGGCTGGCGGACGTGGGGGGCGGTAGGGGGGGGGATGGTGGCTTGGCTGGGCTGGTAGAGGCCAAAGGGACTTGGTTGGGCTGGTACGAGGCGGGCTTTGTGCTGGTACAGTACACTACAAAATTCGGCCAGTGAGGCGACGCAAATTACTACACGTGCAATCACAGCCACCAAAGGTGCCTGCCAGAACTGACAACCTATGGCTACGTGGGCAGAATTGTCGGTATCAGATGAAACGAAACTCACTATCTGAAATCGGACGAAGTATACCGTAACGCCTGCTCTGATAATTCAGACTAACTAAAATCCTTTCTCTTATGGATCAGACGAAATAAAAAGCACTGTCTTATGGTTCAGATGAAAGGAAAAATAAAGGTCTGAAAATCAGACCATCAGACCAAATTGGTCTGATAACGAGAGCCCTGGTTCCAGCCTCTCCTTAGCCCGACCCCTAGGGTAAATTTTTTCGTACCCTGTTTGCAGCAGGGTAAATCAACCTATAGCCTGATTTGAGCAGGGTAGTTTTAGGCTAAGCCTGTTTCGGCTACTATTTTGTGAGCTAAGTTCTCTATACTAACATAATAAAGCAGCACTCGCAACAGGGTCTAACAGGGCGAATCTCGTGTAAGGGCGAATCTGCTCTTGTGTCAGGGTAATTCCGCTGTGATTGGGCAATTTTTCTGCTCTCTGACGACGCAAAACTGTGATTGGGCGAATTCGATGTGCTCTGGCAGCACGAAACTACCGTGCCAGGGCGAATTTGCTGTCAGGGCTTTTTGGGATGATATACCTCAGCGGCCAAAAAACGCCGCCCAATTTCGCGGTTCAGAAGGGACAATGGCCCCCCTCGGGATTGACAAGCTCGCGACGACCTCCGAGCTCCAAACTGGGCCCAAATGGCGTCCTAGGAGCCTCGGTGTTGTAATTTCATATTTCATACAACATACATAGGCTAGAAGTGTAGCACATTTATAAATTGGGGGGTTTCTTAGTGTACCCTCCAACCACATTTTGTGGTTGGTTGGGATTGGTCCTTAGCTCAACCAATCCCAACCAACACACATTTGTGGTTGCTTGGGTCACAAGCAAGCTCACCCATTGGTCAACTTATTGGCCAATAGGGTAAGCTTCTCTCTCATCTCTCTCTTGCTCATTGTTTGTACTAAAGAGCCTCTTGGCTCATTATTCAATGTATCAATTCTAGCTTTCCAACACTCGAGAGCCCTCGGGAATGTCGACAATCGGACGACATAGGTTTGCGCTGGGAGATTCCTGAGAAGTAAATCTCAACGGACAAAATAGGAAAGCTTGCCACGTCAAGCCGCAACGGCCGCCACGCGGACCAATAGGGGGGATCCAGACCGTCCCCACCGTGTACTAGGCTGCCACGACGTGGCCATCGTGGCTACGCGTCGCTCCAGCGGTGAACTTCCCAAAGCGGGAAAACGTTCACACCTTTGAAAATGTCAGAGCGCGATCCACGCGACAAAAATCGGACCGTCCATGATGTAACTGTTCTGTGGCATCGCGAGTTGCACGCAATGTCGGTGTCGACCAATTCATCTAAAGGCCCACAACCAAGCCACGCGGCACAATCTCAACACTGTCTAGGTTCAATAAACCTAAAGAAACAATCAAGCGCGCCGATTGTAAGTCGGCACCGATCTTCGGGCGCCCATGCTAAGACTGCCACGGTGGGCTTCAATAAATCCGGGACCCTGGGAGATTTGAGTCGGCATGCTGTAATTTCGGTACTGAGAGGTCAATGTCGGCCCCAAGCCACGTAACACACGCCCATTCCACCGTGGAGAGGGCCTGGCTTACGCCCCTTCGGTGCAGCGCGAAGTAACATTAGCCATGCTTGGCACGTGGCACTTCGGGCAGAGCGCCGCCTATGCGAGAACACATGCACGGTGGCAGTAGCATAGGGGTGTGCGTGAAGCGCGGCAGCATCGGAGTCGCTCAGGACCATACCCATCCGTGACCGTGCGGGCCTGCTCATTCCCATGTCCGTTCCTGCGTTTCTTCCTGCTCTCTCGTGCACTCAGAATTTTCAGCTGCGAGTCTGTCATCGCGCCTGTAGGTTACTCGGTTGCCGACTTGGTTAGTAGTTATCGACGTCGACGTCTGCTGTTTTAGCGAAACATCGGTGCAAGTCGGCGACGCATGGCCAGAGGTCGCCCTAGAGCCCAACAGCCACAACCCATTCCAACCCCCGCCGACTCTGTAGACGCCGACATCAAAGCGGAGCTGGAACGGCTCGAGGTCGAAGTCGAGTTAGATTCACTCGACCGAGAATTCGAAGAAGACCGCCGCGCAACTCTCCGGGCGTTCACCACACCCGTGACTCAGTACCGTCTTTGGTTTACCAACCCCCGCAATCTCGAGGTCGAACACGAGTTAGACGTTATTGAACGTTATCTAGAGGAAGACCGCTGCGCTACTCTTCGGTCGTACACCGCACCTGTGAATCAGTACCGTCTCTGGTTTACCGGCCTCCGCATTGCACACGGACGACGGTAGAGCAACATACGTGCTGCCACATGGCCGACGTCGACATGACTGACGCTAGACCATCCACCGACCACAGTGCGATATCTACCGAGGAAGAGACACTCCCCTTGCTCTACGATCTTGACAAGCTGACGCAGATTCCAGAAGGGGAGTTCACTAAGGACATTCCCCCACCGCCGATCGGGGAAATTAACAAGAATAAAAAACAGAATCCGACCCGAAATGGACGGCCAGGAACTTCGTCAGCACCGGCCGGCTCTGGAAACCAGGTTGAGGTCGATGAGGAGGAGGATGGGGGGGAGGAGGAGGAGGAGGAAAGCGATGACGAAAACGACGAGCGTTCGTCGCGTAGCACTAGTCAGCGCACCTTGGAAGAACGGCTCAGGCGGGAACTTGAATACCTAGATGATCTGCTCGAACAGGACGAGGATGCCGACCAGGAGAATTTGTCGGTGCCGCGCGAACAGTGGAGGGCGGCAGACTTCGTCGAGGAAGACATGGTGTACGCGACCATCGACGTGCTCGTCTTGGACGCCCTACGCCACCTGCAAACCGTGGAGAGGAACAGCACGCTGAGGCAGTACACCTCGTGGATCTATCACTACAAGAGGTGGGCGGCGAAGATGTTGAGGCAAATTCGCAACAAGCTTCCGCAGGAGTACAGGCTTAAGCACGTCGACGAGATAGGGCACTACATCCGGGACAACAAGAAGAAAAACTGGGACCAAGAGGCCGATGTCCCCCGGTCGTACGTGTGGTTGCACGGCCCTAGGGTCACCAAGTCCCGGCTTCGCGCATACGTGAAGTACATGGTTTGGGAGTTGAATCTCGATGTTGAGTCCAGCAAGGAGGGTGACAACGCCACAGGAACACAGCCTGTGCAATCTACAACGGTGCACACGCTCCTTGGGCGCATAAAGGCATGCCAGATGGCGGCGAGAGTGGAGGCGACGATATACCGGGAGACGGAGCTGAGCATCATGCGAGAGATATCGGTGGTCAGGTCGGAGGTGCGGTTCATGATCCGCACCAAGAACGAGCGGGACATCAAGTGAGTTTTTGTTTAACCTCTTGTTGTTTTCAGCTGCCCTAGCTGCCCGAACGAGTCAGGCAGGTGAGAAAGGCCTGTAGAAAACAGCTTCACAGAGACCAGGTTTTGCAGCTGCCCAATGTCTCTGAGCAGGCCTGAAAAAGAGCAGCCGTCAAGAATGAGGCTTGTGAGCGCTCCCATGGCGCATACAGACTCGGGGAGGTTCACGAGATTGACGCACTCAACCACTTTCAACTCCTTCATCGCCGTAAGGAACCCCAGGGAATGCGGAAGAGCCGTAAGATTATCAAGGGACTTCAGATGCAGCTGCTGAAGAGCGGAAAATTGGCCGATATTGTCAGGGAGCGAGGATAGGCGTGAGCAATTGAGGATCGTGAGATTACGGAGGGCATGAAATCGCAAGGGTTGGCCGGCGGGCTGCTGACTGAACGAATCGAGAAGCGCGGTGAGAGCAGCCAGATCGTCTAAATGCAGCGTATCTAGGTCGGGCAGCTGGAGAAGATTCTCTGGTAGGCTGGCGAATCGGGG